ATCCAAAAGTTGATCTTTTTCGTTTTTTTTTTTGTGTGGGGGGGTGGGGCCGGGGATGCGCTGCCACGTGGCGTCTCCCGTTTTTTGAAAGTCGCTCCCGCGCGGACGCGTCCGCGGGGTCCGCGGACTGGCCTCGTCCGCGGATTCGGCCACGGATGACCGCCGCCGAGGGGGATTCATAGCGAACCAACGAGTACTTCCTCGAGTTAATCGACGCGGTGAAGAAGGCACATCCGTCCTGGTTGCCATACCACAGGGACGAGGCACGGACGAGGAGGCTGGATGGTGCGTTTGGAAGGACGAGAGCAGACGTGACCGCCATGACCACGAAGTGGCAGGTCACGGGCTGCATGCTTCAGATGGACGGTTGGTCTGATAGACGCAACTGCCCCCATCTGAATGTGATGGTGTCGTCCCCGATAGGAACTGTCTTTTGGAAATCAGTGTGCATGGAGGGGAAAGACAAAGACTCGGTGGTGTATTTCAAGATCCTTGATGGGGTGATCAAGGAGATTGAGCCAAACGCAGTGGTTGGCGTTGTCATGGACAACGCAAGAGTGTGTATGAAGGCGGGTAAGATGGTGGAGGCCGCTTACCCTCAGGTTTTTCGTGTCGGCTGCACTGCGCATGCCCTCGATTTAGCACTCGAGGACATGTACAAGCAGCTCAGTTGGCTGGCGGTGGTCGTCGACGCCGGCAATGTAGTAGGCAAATTCTTCACGAATGTGGATAAGGCGAGGGCTTTGTTCGACAAATTCTCGCCGAATTCGAAGTTGAAGCGGCCGGCGGTCACCCGATTTGCCACAAGTCACGACATGCTAGCTTCGTTGAAGAGAGGGAGGAATGCACTGGAGAGGTGCGTCTGCGACACGGCGTGGGTGGACAAGATGGTTAGGGAGGATCAGCTCGCCGCTTTCCGTGATGTCACCTCCATCGTGCTGGAAGGGACGGGTTTTGGGACAAGGTGGACAAGGCCCTCGCAGTGATGTCTCCTGTTGTGGAGCTGTTGCGCCTGGTCGACGGGCCAGGCGCAACAATGTCGAAGGTCTACTTCAAGATGGACGCGCTCGTCGAGAGAATGCGCAGCCTCGACTGTGTCACCCCGGGTGAGAAGGCCGACATTGAGGACATTCTAATACATCGGTGGTCGTTCATGACGAGCGAGCTGCACTGCGCGGCTGCCTTCCTTGACCCGAATTTTCGACAAAGTGCATTGGCAGAGCGGGATCGGGAGGTTCGCGCGGGGTTCAACATTTGGCTGTACTCGTGGGCGCCGAAAGATAAACCCACCCTCGATGAACTGAGCCGGCAAGTTGATGACTGGACCAAACTACGTGGGTCATTCAACACACGAGAGGCAGCGGAGGCGGCGCGTGTGAAACCGGCGGCCTTGTGGTGGGAGGCATTTGGGGCAAAGTTGGACCTTCTGCAGCCGCAAGCGGTCAAATTGCTTGGCCAAGCAAGCTCGTCCGCTGCATGTGAGCGGAATTGGAGCTTGCATAAACTCATTTTTGGAAGACGGCGCGCGAAGCTCATGCCGGAGAGACCGTCAAAGTTGGTGTTCAACAACTGGAACACCCAATTGATCCGGAGTTACATCCACGGCGGTAAGGAGGAGGTCTACATCCCTTGGGAGGATGACCGACCGGTGGAGGCGGAAGTTGAGGAGTGGTACAACACGTGGGTGGTGACGGCGGTGTTCAATGACGATGACGCAGCAGACAAGCTCGATGACGCGGAGGTGGAAGAGGAGCATGGGGACGAGCCACTGATGCGAACTTGGCTGCGAAATGACGAGTGGGATGACCAAGAGTGTGAGGCGGAGGACATAGCCCTTGTGGGCTCGAGGGAAAAGGACTGGCACGAGTGCACAAAACCCGGTCGCTAACGCGAGCTGCGAAGGAAATCAGGCCATTCGCAGCCCTTACCGTCGGTGTTGTACACGGAAGAGGAACGGGCGCAGTTGTTGAAGGCACGAGCTGCCGGAACATGGTTGCACAGTGCAGGGGAAGCGTCCGCTAGCAGAAAATGTGGAAAAAGAGAGCGCACCGCGAGGACGTGGAGGAGGTGGTTCCGGTGGCGAAGGGGAGACGAGCGGACGGAGAGCCTAAATGCAAGAGGGGCCGACCAGGCCCGACCCTCGAACACCGAGCTGGCAGAAAGGAAAGCCTAGAAATCGGAAGCGAAGGCTGCAAAGGCAGCAGCAGCAGCAGCGAGAAGTGCGGGAGCCAGAAAAGGAAGGAAGAAAAAGGCGCGCAGCAATGTCATCGACGATGACAAAAGCGGCGATGATGCGGCGGCAGCAGATGACAATGAGGCAGCAGCAGCAGGCGACGAGGCGGCAGCAGCACCGTCGTCGGCATCCTCATCTTCCTCGTCGGACGATGAGGATGCAAGTGGGAGTGGGGCGGAGTCCATGGATGCAAGTGGGAGTGGGGCGGAGTCCATGGAACACGGTGAAGGAGACGGGGACGGCACGGGTGAGAGTTCGGAGGATAGCGAGGGGCCATCCGGGGAGGAAGAGGAAGGAGACAGCGGGGAGGAGCAGGAGAGAGCAGCAGAGCTCACTCCTGCAAACTTTGAAACTGGGTAGTTTTGTTTTCAATTCCAGAACTTTGAACTTTCTGAACTTTGCAAACATCGCATTTCCGACGCTGTGAACTTGCAAAGGTTTTTCAAACTTTTTTTTGTGTTGTTCGCTTCCACATGTCGTCTGCGTTTTACGGGGTTGTGATTGGTGATCTCATGATGGTGTGCTTCAATGTGCTGTGTGTGCCTGTTATTTGCCCTGCGGCTGTTGTTGTGCGCACTGTGTATCCACCTGGTTGTTCATACCACTGGCAGGTACGTATTGCCAACCTCCTCATTCCGCATTTCGCCCCTCCGTTTGCCTGTTCGAAATTGTGACCTTGTTTACTTTGTTTGCTTGTGTGTGTGTGTGTGTGTGTGTGTGTGTGTGTGTGTGTGTGTGTGTGTGTGTGTGTGNGAGAGAGAGAGAGAGAGAGAGAGAGAGAGAGAGAGAGAGAGAGAGAGAGAGAGAGAGAGAGAGAGATGGAAGCCCTGCTTTCTGCTCAAATTATCGGGGGGAGCAAAAAAAGGCACGGTTTTGGCTAGGCAACGCGCAATGCAGCAGGGGGGGGGGGCGAAAAAATAATAATAATAATAAATAATGCGGCGCATCTGGCGCACCACCCAGGGGAACAGCCCGCAGTTGCGCGCACACCAGCGCACGGCGCATACAGATGTGCGCATGGCGCATGGCGCACTTAGATGCGCGATGCGCGCGATGTGCGCTCATCTGCTTCGCTCGCATGGCGCACCGCGCATGCTCAGTGCATGGCGCAGCGCATACATGCGCCGCAAGTATGCACATAACCCTAAAACGTACTCCTAACAACGCGCCACGCCCTCTGATTTCGGAAAGTGGTGGGATCCGCGTTCCTCAACAAAATTGGCTAAATTACGCACTGTCCAATCAGAAGCTTACATTCATGTGGTTCTATTGAACCTGGGTTGTATTTCAACAGTTCATGGGTGTACCAACTGAACTAGAGCTCCGTACAGCTAACGCCCATTTTCCTTTTCATTCCATGGTTTCTTTTTTTTCTTTTACGTCCATGTATATAAGGAAAAAGGGGGAAAAAAAAGGCAGCCTAAAACCCCTGGGGCATCGACCCACTAGTCAAGAGTTACGCTTCGCGGCTGGGCTTTCGACCACGTGCGGCCTGGGGTGACTCACACCAGCCGCAGATCGCCATCCACATCGACTGCCGTCATGTTTTGCAGTCGGGAAAGGCCGTCGTAATGGCACCTGGCCAGTAGGAAGTAGTTTTAAAAATCTTTTGTGCCTGTTTTTGTTCGCCACACTCCGTTGGCGCAGAGCTTCAAAATCAGTGTTTTTTTACCCATGGGGTGATTTTGAAGCTTCGATGTTCCTTATTTTGTCGTTGAAAAAATTTAAAAAATGTGGGATTCGGAGTCCTTCGGCCGTCGTTTGTGCGCAGTGGCCACGAAACACGGCGCGAAGAGATGTGTCCATGTTGTCTTGTGGGTTCCTAGCACACAGTCCGAAGGAGGCGCTGCACTTACATACCGAGAGCAGTGGCCGCACATGCCCACAATGTCCACCCGAATTCATCCCGGGCGGCGGCCAGCGGGGTCACATGCGTTCCATCGTTTTGGGTCCGGTGTCATAATGAGGGATGGCCGTCATAATTGCGGGTTACTTTATTTTCATTTTTTGGTGTTCATCGCCTAAAACAAAAAATGGACGAAAACAATTTCTGGCCATTTTTTTAATGCTGAAAAAGTGCCACTCACCGATTTACGCTTCGCTAATGGGTCCAGGCCCCTGGGCCGTGGTCCCACTAGCGAAGGGGATAGGATAGAAATCCTGAATCTGGCTATGTTTTATGCAGAGATACAGAAAAGCAGTTCTATCTCGATTTCCTGCTCCTGTCCTCAAAGACGTCCAGATTCAGGCATTCAATCCGAATGCTTTTTGCTAATGGGACCACGGCCCTGGGGTACTGGTGGTTATTATAGCTCAAAAGTTGATGAGGCCGGGGACGTCGTGCATCCATGCATTTCGAAGTGACGTAGGAAGTTATCGTCCGTTTTCTTGCTCGCGTGCAACTGGATGTGTTTGCGGGTACGTGCAGAAATCGTAATGAGTTTCCTAGACTGCTCTTCTCCACAAAAAACGTCCAGATTCAGGCGTTGAGGAAATTGTAGGCTGCTAGTGGGACTTGGCCCCAGATTGTAGGCTGCTAGTGGGACTTGGCCCCAGGCATTTGAATTGACGTACGAAGTTATCGCTCGGTTTGTTTTTCGCGTCCATGCAACGAGTGTTCGTCGTACTCGACGATTCTTTTCTTTTTCTTTTTTTTTGTTTTTAAAAACTTTTCTTTTTCTTGAATTGAATTCATCCATCCCGATTCGAACTTTAGGCCTTCATTTCAACAGGTCATGGGTGTACTAACTTAGCTAGCTTCTTCCCCCGAATACAACGTACGGTCATTATAGCTGAATCTAGACTGAAAGATGCCTCAAATACAGATATAATAATCGTACGTTGTATTCGGGGGAAGAAGGTAGGCCAGTAGGTTTCACGTCATTTCCGTAAGTCGATGCCCTGGCCATGCACTGTATATCATCCGTTTTCCTTTTCACGCTACGTGCATGTGTGCGTACATGATGGTGCCTACCCGTCTTCCCGCGAAAACAATGTAGGATCATTACAGCTGTATTTGGGGCAATATGAAAGTAGGTCTACAAACAGTTACGTTCTATTCGGGGGAAGAAGGTAGTTTTCACGTCCCTTCGGTCTATCGATCTCGGCCCATGCAACGTACGTGGCAGCAACCACAGCCTTCCCCCGAACACAACGCAGTCTCATCATGACGGTATCGCACCGGGAAGATGGCTTCTATACATTCAGGATAAGGGTGTGCGGTGTTGGGGAACTTGGGGGCGAAGATGGCAGCTAAACATGCGGGGGTCAGACAAAAGAGGAAGAGACTAGATATCAGGAATCGAATCACACTATTCTTCCTCAGAAGCTGGCCTATACGGATGGCATATGCACAAGTCAGAGACTGAAAGGAAACAACAGGCTGAAATATAGGGTATGTGTAGCCAGGTAATTTGCAAAAAAGAAAAGAAAAAAAAGAAAAGAAAAGGGAAGATAACAAGAGATGAAAGATAAAAGAGTATGTTGGTCTCGCTCCTCCACTGGACATTCAACATGTATTTAGACCTTCATTTGGCCAGATGCATTCGGAGTTCAGGAGTAAATCGACTGAGCTGTGGACGTAATTCCGGTAATCTGCATTCAGGTCTTGCGGCAATTGCGATCAGATGCATCCCGCTTGGCCGTAGTCTGAACATGCCCTCAAATGCATTTTAGTAGATCAGCCGCTCGTTGGTCTTCCTAATTCATTGCCAATCTATAAATAATAATAATAATAATAATAATAATAATAATAATAATAATAATAATAACCATGACCAACTGGAGCCATGCTTGATAACGTTCTTTGCATGGTTCCATTTTCTTTTTCCGTTTTTTCTTTTCTTTTCTTTTCTTTGTATGTACCATTTCTCGAGTCATGCGTATCATCCTTGCCTTTTCTTCTTTCGTCCTTTATTATTATTTTTTTCTGTTTTTTTTTTTTTTTTTCCTGTGCATTTTCCACTTACAACATGTCCGGGCTGAATGATGAACGGGATCCGTTCGGTAGATATATCGGAGATACGTGCATTACTTCATTTACGCGCCACATCGGCCCGCTGCCGGCAAACAGGATAAACGTTTTTCCTTTTTTTTCCCTTTTTTTTTGTGTGTGTGTCAACTCACAATGGATATGCTTGCTTTTCGTCATTCAAGCGGCATGATAGCCTACCGCCTTTTTTTTTTTTTGTGTGTGTGTGTGCGTCAACTCACAAGGCAACCTCATTTTGGCTCTCCGGTACCGGAAAGATAGCTTGTATACATTCATTATCGGGGTGCGTTATGTTCCGGGGAAGACGGTAGTGTTATCGTCTTTCTAACGATGGAGAAAATGTAGGAGGAGGTGAAACAACAACAACAACAACAAGATGATAGAGGATGGAGGAGAGAGGGAGAGAGGACAGGAAGTGAGGAGGCGAATAAGAGCGTGCGACTTTGTGGCATTGAGAGACAGGCTGTACCTTCTGTGAGGACCAGGTAGAAGACAGAGCATTCGGCGCCATTAGCAGCGATGGCGGCGTTCTTTCTGCCCGAAGAGGAAGAAGAGGATGACCCACGTGGCACGCCAACGTTTAGAGTAGAGCTGGCTATGGCTGCGCCAGCTTCCGCAGACGTAGCTGCCGCCATGCCGGGGACAAGCGAGCGCACGAGGGGAAGACGGCGATGACGATTGGGATGGCGCCCTTCCCGCCGCTGTCCTCTGCCTCCGACGCATGCTAAGGGCAGACACACCCACGCTCCCTCGCCTCCGCTTCCTCCCTCTTCCTCGCTCCCCACCGTCCACCTTCCCTTTTTCGGTGCTGGGGCGAAAGCTGTCAACCCAGACAAGCCGTTCCGCGGAGGACTTTCCCGTGACAAGGTGAGACCTTGCCGGGACCATTACAGGCCCCACCTGCTTTTCTGGCCGATGATGATCTCCATGATCGAGGGTCCGGACAAGTGGCACCTGCCCTGGGGGATTCAGCAACCCCCTTTCCCCAGCCCTCTCCCGATACCCTGA